CCTAACGGTGATGGAGATCTACCCCACCAGCTAAGGGCTTCTTCCCATTCCTTACGACCCAGCAAACAGGGGCAGAGGCACGAGATGGCTGTCTCCCCCCCCCCATCGCTGGCCGCGGGATTAGGTAGGAGTGGCAGGGACCAGTGGTGGTCACTGGTGGCGGCGAAACGGCGCGAATGATGGAGCGTTGCGATTCTTGTGCAGGAAATGGGCCCAGCTTGTCGGGCGGTCGCTGTTAACTTTCGAGTTCAAGTTCCCTGCGACCAAGACACGGAGACACCAAGGGTCGTGGAGAGGCCGTGTGGCGGGGCAGTGAAGCTTTACGAAAATACGATTGGTCTGTTCTGGCCAAAGCGCCGGTACTGCGGAGCCAAATCTTGATAGCGAATGACCTGCACGTGGGCGCAATTTTGATCAAGTACCGGTATTTCCACCCTTTGTCACCAGCTCTATGTGAGCACCCCGAAAGTATTCCGTACCTTTACCCGGCTGAGCCACAGATGAGCCAAAGTACTCCCTTAATCTGCAGGTAAACGTGGAGGCGGGAGGCAACCCAGTCCAACCTTCCTTGATCCACAGACTGCAAGTCCACTCCAACTCACTCACACACTCTCTCTCTCCCAAGCTCCCACCCCGTACTCCCGTACTCTCCTGCGCCCGCTTGCTGAGCGCACCTGCTCTTGGGTGAGGCTGAACTACCATTGCACCGGCCTAATTAATCCAACTGCCCCCATTACGGTGCTGACTTTCAACTGCACTTCATCCGCTTCCTCTCTTGTGGGCTCATCGCCATCGCGGCGACTGCTCGTCCACACGCAACATCGTCTCAACAAACCATACCATCTGGACTGGACTGCTTTTTTACTCAATTCGCAGGCGACGTAGCGTCTATAGCTCACCTTCTCACTTCGCGCCCGCCGCCACCGTCAACGTCATCCGAGTGTCTCAGGTCTCTTTGGGGGAGGTTCATGTGGTGCAGCGAGTGCTGACGCGTGGTTGCCAAAAATGGCTCCTCCAGCAGCCTCGTCTGAGGGTATTACTGCCCAATCAGACCTTGGCGAATCTGACGACAGTTCATCCTTCTTAAAACGCTCGATTGACATGGACCGACTGAAGCCAAGACGGGAGATGTTATCCCTCACCAGCCGCGCGACACTAGAGCACCGCTCATTATCAGGAGGAGGAGTTGCTGGGGTCGTTATTGGTGTCATTGTCGCCGTCTTTCTCGTCGGTGTTTGCGCCTACCCATTTATTGTTCGGAGGAGAAGAGCTAGGAGAAATGAATTGCCCGAACGTCTTGACACGGAAACGGCCTTCGTCCCCGGGCCTATGGGTCCTCCAGGACAGGCGCCGGCGCCCGGACCCGGACCCGGATACAACAGCCGTCTTTCTTCAAAAGATTCTTTTGGAAACAAGGCCGACACCCTGAGGGGTACAGAGAGACAGTCTACCAAGGATACGACCATATCATCTCAGAATGGCACCGACCGCCCTCCCAGCGATGAAGTGAGCAACCAGCACCAGCGTGGCTTCACCGGCGACAGCACTCATCCACCTAGTGTAACGACGAGACGCGGCACCACCGAGTACTCCTTTGGACATGCGCCTACATGGAACAGCGACTCGTCCTATCCATGGACCCCCGTGGGTGTCGAGCTGGTTGCCACTCGAGCCGATGGCATGGACTACACCGAAGCCAATCACGGACACAGCGCGACCTACTACAGCCCGACGATTCCTTCCGAGGCCTTTGGCATGGTCACGCCGCCTCCAACCGACGAGCCTCAAAGTCGCGCGGCACTTCCTAGACGGTCAAGCTCCCGAGGAAGCTCGTTCAAGCTCAACCTAGCAAGCATGATACGTCGCATGAGCACCAAGGACTCAACCGTTCGCTCAAAGGGTCACCCATCACAACCGTCGCAGCCCGTTCTTAGCGAAACACTGTCAGACTCTCCCACCGAGTTTACTGGTCCATCATTCGGAACCGCTCAGCTGGATTCGCCCATTCACCTACCTGTTAGTCCCATGTCGGAGCCGGAGGACCCTGGCCACGCTTCGGAGCTGGAAAAGAAAAGAGCAGTCAAGCCGACTGAATCCCCTCCTATTCTTCCTCCGGTTGTACCGGCTCCTGGGACTGTGAATCCCATGGACATCATGGCACCATCAAATCCGACAGAGCACAAGTGGAACACGAACCAGCAGCTGTTCAATATCGCGCATCCGCCCCCTAAGCCACCTGTCGACACTCCGAAGCCAACATCAGAACCGCCGCAAGCAACTCAAGCCCTTACGCCACAATCACCGGAACAATCATACGAACAGCAGGAACAGTATATTCTCCAGCAACAGCAACAGCAACAGCAACAGCAACAGCAACAGCAGCAACAGGAACTTCAACGTCAGCAGCAAGAAGCAAATGGACCATCAAAGTTATATGGGAACGAACAATCCCAGGCGATCAACTGGAACCTCACAAATGGTAGCCATGTAAACGGCGCTATTCCAGATGTACAGATGAACGGTGTCGCGCACCTACCTGATCCCACCCACCTCATGCCTGATCAACATAATCAGCATAACCAGCACTACCTCGATGGCGAAATGACCGACCCATCTGATCACTCCCCGCCGGTAGCTGGACAAGCTAGTTCCGGCCCATCTTACCAAAGCACACCAAACACCCAAATCGACAGCAGTCCGTCTCCAAGATCAGATGGCAGCTCGGATATCCGCAATAGCACGTCCCCGTACCCAGGAATGCAGCCATCCCCTCGGACCTTTATTTGCGACGAATGTGGCAGGTTTTTCGACCAAGTTCATAAGCTGAAGTAAGTCGATGTATGGGAATTGGGTCGTATATGATGCTAACAGATTTAGTCACCACAAACGATACCATGAGAGACCTCATGAATGTGCCCATCCGAACTGCGGAAAGAGGTTCGGTACTAAGACACATCTGGATCGTCACATCAACGATAAACACAAGAAGACGAAGAAGTTCCATTGCACCGTTAGTACTTGCCCCTATTCCAAGGCGGGAGGCAAGTCATTCCCCAGAAAGGACAACTGGAGGCGGCATATGATGAATATCCATCAAGTCACGCCATTGGCCGACCCGGAACCCGACATTGTCGACGAGAATATGGGAGGAACATAAGGGTGCGTTGCAAATAAGGTTCTCTACACGCAAACACAATGCCACCGACTCAGGGGGTAAAGGGGCAATATTGCCCCACAGGCGGGGGAACGCTTGGGAAGTGGTCTATCGAAAAGACAGACAAGTGACTTGCAAGCGATTTCGGCCCTTGCTCCCAGTGAGCATGTCGCAGGACTGGGAGTGAATGAGGGGGGTACGGCTGCTTAAACAAGGCACCCTCTAACAGGAGTCATTTCCCATCGGGCCTAGCGACGGCTCGAGAAATCATTCGTTTTGTTATTGTCAATGGGCAATGTGTTATATACATCATGGTTGCCTCTTGAGGATGGAGTCAAAACAGGGAGGCAACACAGGTACATTCTTTCATTGGGTGCTGCCATAGCAGCAGTCGGGCGTTGGGAGGCTCACGGAGATTGCCGCCAGGGTAAATACTGTAGAACAAGGCCAAAAAAGCATCACGGGAGGGCGTGTTTGCATAGGAAACCTTTTTTAACTCAAATCTTTGATTAAAGATCTCACAAGCTTCTTCTGCTGATCGATTGTGAGACCACGCTGGTCCGTCTCCTGGATCGCCCTTCCCACCGCGATGATGATCTTGGTGCTCTCGCTGTTGACCCAGATCTTGCCGTTGCGACCGACAGCCGTCTCGAAGGCCGCGCCTGTGGCACCTAGCTCCTCCAGCACGACGAGATCGGTCGTCTTTGGCATGAGCAGACGCCGTGACATGCCTAGTGAGATGTCGAAGAGCATGCCGCCCACGAGGGGTCCCAGGCCGTCGCTCTTGCCGGTGGATTGGTAGACGCATTCGAGCTCGGGGTCCATGTGCTTGTTTGCTAGGGTGACGCGGGCGTAGACGAGGGCGCCGGCAGCTAGTTGGGGGCGGGTCTTCTTGGAGGCGCCTTCGAAGGAGAGTTGGGGGAGCATGGCTGGTGTTGAGTAGTCGGCGAGGAGGACGTAGTAGAGTTCGGCGGCGGTGCGCTGGACGGTGCCGACGACGAGGTCGCCTACGGCGGGTATATACTGTTTGGGATCATTTGTTAACTTTATTATTATTATTTTTTGGATTATTCCTTGGAGCCAAAATGGCAGCATTGATTTGGATGTATCGTACCCTTCCACTTGTCTGCTCAACCCATATCGAGTTCTTCTTGCGATCTGTGACGAGCTTGCCGGCGATGGTGGGCACTATTTGCCTGGGAGGAACATGTCGGAGACCAGGACCGAGGCGCAGGGGAAGTTTCTGATGCGAGGGTATGAGGGAGTCGTCGATGACATCGCCGGGGAGGACGTAAGGGCCGACGGAGGCCATGGTTGTGTTTTCGTTCGTCGGGAAGCGAGTTTGGGTGGTGATGTTGAATTGAAGTTGTCAAAGAGGAATAGACGCCAAGTACTTTTTTCCCGCCTTCTGCGCCGCCGTTCTGCTTGCTTGGTACTCGATTTCAGCCTTGTAGAAGCAGCAGCAGCAGTGGTCACTGAATGTCGAAAGCTTTGGCGGGGCACTTTCGTGTGTGCGGCGGTGCGCGCCCAGCGAATTGAATTTGATAGGAATCCGGCTGGTGGGACATGTTGTGGAGAACCAAAGTGCCCCACTGCGACTGGACGACCAGCGAACGTGGGAATTTTTTTTTTCCCTTGCCCAAAATTTCGAGTTGGCCTTTGAGAGGAACCCCCACCATCCATCCACCCACCACCATTGAAAACATTCCTCCTCCCCGAGATCTCTACTGGAGTTGCGGTACCAAAGTTCAATAAATAGCCCCCCTGCTCTTTTCTCGACTCCTCACATCATCGCCTCCTCCCCCTCCACGGCGAATATACAGACGCACACACATACACACACAAAATGGCTACGAACGGTGACTCGCGGCCCGCGCCGGGCGACCGTACCGTCATTGGTATCACCTTTGGCAACTCCAACAGCTCCATCGCATACACCAAGGATGACAAGGCTGAGGTTATGGCCAACGAGGACGGAGGTGAGTTTCTTCTCTTGGGGGTGGGGGAAACACGGCACTTGGTCATAGTCTTTGTAGAAGAAGTGAACCGCTAACCTTGCGAAATTCCGCCAGACCGTCAAATTCCCACCATCCTCTCCTACGTTGATGGAGACGAGTACTACGGACAGCAGGCCAAGGCCTTCCTCATCCGGAATCCCACCAACACGATCGCATACTTCAAGGACTTCCTCGGACAGGAGTACGCTTTTACCCTCCCCATATCATACGCTGCCCGGATAGCATCTTTGAACTGACCGTATCCCACCACCAACAGCTTCAAGTCCATCGACCCCACCCACAACCACGCCTCTGCCCACCCCCAGGACGTGAACGGCACCGTCTCCTTCTCCGTCAAGGACAAGGTGGACGCCGAGGAGCCCTCCACCGTCTCCGTCCACGAGGCCTCCGTGCGCTACATCCGCCGCCTCGTCGGCTCCGCCAGCGACTACCTGGGCCAAAAGGTCACCTCGGCGGTCATCACCGTCCCCACTAACTTCACCGAGAAGCAGAGGGAGGCCCTCATCGCCGCCGCAAAGGAGGCCGGCCTCGAGGTCCTTCAGGTCATCTCCGACCCCGTTGCCGCCGTCCTCGCCTACGACGCCCGCCCCGAGGCCGTCGTCGAGGACAAGATTGTCGTCGTCGCCGACCTGGGCGGCACCCGCTCCGACGTGGCCGTCGTCGCCTCCCGCGGCGGCATGTACACCGTTCTCGCCACGGCCCACGACTACGAGTTCTCCGGCTCCCACCTCGACCAGGTCCTCATCGACTACTTTGCCAAGGAGTTCATCAAGAAGCACACCACCGACCCCCGCGAGAACGCCCGCTCCCTCGCCAAGCTCAAGGCCGAGTCCGAGTCCACCAAGCGCGCCCTCTCCCTCAGCGCCAACGCCAGCTTCAGCGTCGAGTCCCTCGCCGACGGCGTCGACTTCCAGTCCACCATCAACCGGTTACGCTACGAAATGGTCGCCCGCAAGGTCTTTGACGGCTTCAACCGCCTCGTCGAAGGCGTCGTCAAGAAGGCCGAGCTCGACGTTCTCGACATTGACGAGGTCATCGTCGCCGGCGGCACCGCCCACACCCCGCGCATCGCCGCAAACTTTGCCCAGCTCTTCCCCGAGTCCACAAAGGTCATTGCCCCCGCCACCGTCGCCAACGCGATCAACCCCTCGGAGCTCCTCGCCCGCGGCGCCGCCCTCCAGGCCTCGCTGATCCAGGAGTACGACGCCGAGGACATTGACCAAAGCACCCACGCCGCCGTCACCACCGTCAAGCACATCTCCAATGCCATCGGCGTCGTCGGCGCAAACGACGAGTTCGTCCCCGTCGTCCCCGCCGAGACCGCCGTCCCCGCCCGCCGCACCGTCAAGATTTCCGGTCCCAAGGACGGAGGCGACGTCCTCGTCCGCATCGTCGAGGGAGGCGCCCACATCAAGGTCACCAAGCCCGAGCCCAAGGCCGCCAAGCCTGAGGCCAACGGCGACGATGACGACGACTCGGACTTCTCCGACGAGGAGGAGGAGGATATCCGCGAAAAGGTCTGGAAGGTCGGTCCCACCCTCGCCGAGGCCGCCGTCCGCGGCGTCAGCAAGGGCGCCAAGGTCGAGGTCACCATCAACGTTGCCGCCGACTTGGGCGTCACGATAACGGCGAGAGAGGTTGGCGGCAAGGGCGGTGTCCGCGGCGCCATCAGCGCTCCTTGAAGTGGTGGTGTCCGTCTCTTGACATCGAAACAAGACCAGTAACGACTTTGCCTTTTACAAAACAGGCGCGCCGTTTATCGCAACGCAAAATCGGCCAGGCGTAAAAAGAGAGGAGCGGTTCGGCAGTATGGAATAAAGCCTACCCCCGTTTTTTTATAGATCCAAAGTGGTGGGGAGTGGAAAGGAAAGGGAAGGGATGAATCAAAACGGAAATGAGGACACCCGGAACATAGAGAGAGCAAAAAAGAGGTATAGACAGCGAGCTTTTTTGTAGGCGAGTTAGTCTTGGTGACACACACGTAGAAACGAAATGCTGTTAATGAACTTTTCGTTTTCTCCTGACATATTCGCAAACCGGATCGTAATCAAATTCGGCTTCCTTGAAAGGAGGGAGCTATGCAAGATAAAATGTACGCCTGCCCACTAACACCTTGCTAGGAACAAAAGCCAGGAAAAGAATATCGCACTGCCCCCTTTTATGTGACAGCACCAGGTAACCTCCACGCAACGAGATCGTCACGAACATCAAACTCCTCCAGCTCCCTGTTCCTCCTCGAGCTCTCGCGCCCGCGATCACTGCTCCCCATCGTCGGCGCCAGGCTCACCATGCTACCGCTGCGGCTCCTTGAGCGCCCGTAGTCGCGCGCACCGATACCGCCGCCGTGACCGCCACCTCCTCCTACTCCGAGACGTTGATCGTCGTCACGACCCCTTGTCCGGCTATGTGAGCCGCGACGAGCAACGTTGCTCGCACCAGCGGTGCTGCTCGCAGTATCGCCACGGCCCGTAACGATGGTGGCCATGCTCTTAATGCTCCGCAAGCTCCTCATACTCTTCTCGCTGGAGCCGCTGTTGTTGCGCGAGTGGTGGCGGTGTCCGTTATGCAGACGGTGTAAGTGCAGGTGATCCTGCTGAGGCGGGTCCAGCAGCAGCTGCTGCTGCTGTTGTTGCTGCTGCTGCTGCTTCCGTTCCAACTTGCGAAAGTCCGACGGCCGGAGGGTGCCGTTCAAACCGCCTTCGTCGGAGCTCAGAGAACCGCCGTTGTCCAGGTCAAAGGTGGTTGTCTTCTTGCCGGTGCGTCCCGTACGTCCTGCCTGCCAGCCGTCGCCGCCGGAGAAGATGTCTTCGATACACTGATCGGCGGGGAGCTCACCGGGTTGGCATGACCAGGAGGCTGCGAGGGCGCGGCGGTACATGTCCTGCACTTCGGAGGCATCTCTGGACTTGGCCATTGTAGGAAGCTCTGGAGAAAAGATTAGTATGGGATGGGCCGCCAAGAAGTGCAGGGCTAGGAAATAGGGGGAGACTCACGTCCAGCGTCATCTTGCTCGACTGATTCGCCCGCCATAATACCGGCAATCCCACCAAATACAGGCGCAGTCTTTAAGGGAGGCGCAGAATAGTTCTTATCGCCATCAAGCTGCATCATCAAAATGCCGATTTTCAATGTGCTGTTGATTTTGCTCTCCTGCATCAGATATCGCCTCACGATACCATCCTCGACGTCTGGGTCGTCCAGCACCGGCGCCCTCGTCGACATCGGGCTTTGGCTGGTGCCGCTGCTTCGCTTGCGCGAGTGACCTCGGTCGAAGCTGCTACTCTCGCGGGTAAGGCCATCACTTTCCTCCACGTACTCGCTAAGGTTGAGCTTGACGAGACCGAGCGAGATCTTCTCCTCCCTACCGCTGCCTGGAAACTGTTGCAGGACCTCAAACTCGACGGGGCACTCGGTCAGGTTGTTGTTCTTGTCGATGCTAATCCGGATATGGCTGACGACCTTGGAGTAGTTGTACTCAACCTTGTGGTTGGAGATGGGGCATTGCGGTGTGCGACCACGGTGCTCGGCGTGGATGGAGTGTGCGAGGTTCCATTTTACTATCGATGTCCCTGATACCAACGGGACGTTGTTCAAATCGAAGATCTGAAAGAGGTGTCAATAAGAGTTGTTCCTCGCCAGAATGCAGCAAATGCTGTGTTAGGAGGGACTCGCACCTTTAGATGTAACTCAAACTTTGGCTGCGTCAAGTGGCGTTAGCTCAAACCGGTTCGCTGAGTGGTCACCAACAACAGTCCTCCACTTTGGGTGATTGAGTTTCCCACGGCAGGATGGTGGGAGCGGAGAGGAGGCATTACCTTTCTGTTCTTATTGACTGTGGGCAGGAAGCCCCCGTTAGCCATGCTCTTGAGAGGACTCATTTTGAGCGAGTGATTCGCTCTCGCTCAGCGCAAATGGTAATGACGGAGACAGAAACAGAAGCAAAGTGAGGCGGGACTGAAAAGCCCCGGACCCCAACAAGAGGTGCTTTCAAGGGAGAGACATGGGAATGACGAGGTTGTTGATTAAAGCGCAAAGGTGAATAGGATAGGTAGGGCTGGAGGTGAGAAGAAAAAGCCACCAAGCTCCCTCTGGGGTTGTCTCAGCGAGATCTCAGCCTCATGTAAGGTACGGGTGAGCAAAGGGCTAGGCAGTCCACGTGGTCACAAGGAATGTGTATGTTTAGGTGAAATAAGAGAATACAATAAGGACACCAACGCCGACAAAGATCAGCTCGACATGGGACGGATGATAAAAGAAGACGAGTCGGAGAAAGGAGCAAATAAAGGCTTACTTAAGGAAGCCATGTTTCATGGAAGGCATGGCTGGCTGGGTTCCCTCAGACCAGCAAGTTAATAATACCTGCCACCTCTGGTGAGGACCGCGCGCCTTCGGAGGTAGGTACCCTAAGGTGTGTAAGAGTGCGCGGGCGGGCAGGCAGGCAGATGGTAGTGTGCAAGGGCAGGCAAGGCACACACAGTCGTGGTCGCAGTCGCAGTCGCAGTCGGAGTCGCAGGCGCAGGCGTGCAGGAAAGTCCAACAACACGAAGAGACTTGTCCTTTCTTGTCAGCGACGCTCGGTTTCGTTTCGGGACAGCCGGATAATACGGTGCTGGCAGCTAGAGGAGCTCTGAGAGGGGCAGAACCACAGTAGGTACGGCTAATGGATAACGGGATGCCGGTGCCGTGACGCTGAGGGCAGTCTTCCTGAATATGTCCGCTGAAGGAAAGGCTTGAGATTGCATGCGTGGTCAGCGACCAATCGCCGTCTATCTGACAGTGCGTCGTCCGTCCGCGGGCGTCGATAGAATGGAAGCTGAGAGCGCGCGAGACAGATATGGGCTTGAATGTATTGCGGCAGAGCGCAGGGGGTGGTCAGGAATTCGGGGTTCCAGACTGCCAGTCCCTCCTGAGGTGGTCCTCCACGGGCGGACTGACTCAGCAAACAGGGGTCTGCTGTCTGTAGAGGTTGGAGATGTCCAAGACTTGGGACAGTATCTCTGCGAAGAAGGCTCAGAGTCAAGTGGTTTTGAATCAGGTCGCGTCGATGCTCTCTCCTTCTTTTGGTGATGAAAGAAAGAGAGTTTGACTTCGGATAGGGTCGAACGAATACGTAACTCCGTCGAGTACCTACCACTGCCCCAGCATCCTGGGCGTACGGATACCGGAACCGCTGTAGCGGCATGTGCCTGGCCCGAGTTCTTCAATCAGCCACATCTAGATCATCGGGTCTATCAACTAGTAGCCTGCGCCACAATACACACAATCATCGTGGCACTCTACTGTCTACACTGACGAGTTGCATTTGATGCCTTTCTGAATTGCTGTTTCCAAATCCTAACATTATTGCCTCGTAACTTAGACGCCCAGAGGGTGACAAATTAGGATATTGGTCAACAAACGATTATGCTGCTGGCCTCACTAATATTCTTTATCTTCTTTTCTACAGAGTATTCTCCAAGAAACGTGTATAAGAGGAGAATGGGAACAGAAATAACAAAAATCATAAGAATACTTGGAAAAGATTGAAATAATAGGAATAGTCGGAATAACAGTAATAGGAGGAGTCGAGCTAGAGGACAGAGCGGCAAACGATTTTGTCACCCACTTGGTTGCTTTCTCGTCGTAGTATCCTTGTTGTTCATTAGCAACTGCAATTATTCCATAGTCTCTGTCGTCCTCGTCCCGTATGGCCCTAAACCTCGCGATGTCAGTCGAAGGCTTCAACCACATATCAAGCTTTCCCTGATCCACTTTAAACCTTTGCCGTTATTACGGAGTATATCATATCCAATGTCCACACGCATCGATTTACCATTTAGCGAACAGGCAACTCGATGTCAACCGCGGTATGGTACTGCCCGAAGTGAGAGTTCGTCTTGACACAACGCCAGACCCTAGTGAGCCGGGGAACGTCACGATCAAAACACTCAAACCTACCGAGTTCAACAAATCTAAAACTGGTAGACCAGAGCTCCAACAATTCTCGAGATCCAGTAGCCAGTCAACTTTCAACCCGAAGAAAACCTTTAAGCAGAAAGCATCTGAACGGACAAGGGTCAGGGGATTCAGAACATCCCCAAACTCTGATTATCCAGGCACGCAGCACCGCGAGCCAGTGACGATGCCGTCCATTGCGCTTCTCCAAAGATCGTCCCCAAACAGCCCAGGGTGCAGCCCTGTCCATTCCAGGTTCCCCAAGCGGGTGCGTCCTCACAGGCGGCCGGCACAAGCCGACATCTGCGTCAAGATGAACACTCCATCCCGAAAGGCAAGGGCGGCGAACTGCAAAGACCTAAGGATTCAAGGATTCACACGGGATCGCAGCTCGTACTGTAGCTCGCAGCCCGCGATAAAATAAAATAAAAGTATGAAGGTGCATCGTCCGAGACAAGATCACCGCACCCCAGCCATCACGTACGACGCCCAGGCCTCAAAGACCATTCCAGACCCTTCGTGAAACCTCCCGAGGAAGGCGCCTCATAGAAAGTTTGAACATCCGGCCAGAGAATTAGGAAGACTGGGGATACGGGATGAGCAAGGTCACGCCGCACCGGGGCGCGCTACCCGTCACCCGTTGTCGCCCCCCAACAGCAATTTCTGTGTCTGTGAGACAGTGAGAGGGGGAGAGAGAGAGAGAGAGTCTGAGAGAAGTGTGACGCAGTGCAGCGCAGTTCTCCACACAAACTCAATCAACATCCCAGTCTCAACCTCCTCCCGTCCCCAGCAGAAGTGAAGAATTCCCCGAGCCGCATACGTCATGGCCCTCTCATCCCTATCCCATAGGCACTCTGTACAGCGCACACCGAACGCCCAGACGAACGATGTCATCTCTTCACAGGAACCTGTTTGGAGGAGGGAAGGGAGCTACCTACTACCTTGGGTGTATGGGAAATGAGACAGCCGCAATGACCGCCACAAATGCGACGCCAGCAGCCACCACGTTGTCTCCTTGGCCACACAGAAGCTCGTGGCTAGGGCGCTAGGTACTTTTCTCTGTTTCTTTGGTTGCGAACTGCACCATGACATGTTTGGTCTCCAATCATGGATGGAGCTTGGGAGCGCCCGACGTGCAATCAAACTCCATCGATGCAGACTCGTGTCGGTATCCGTAGTGAACATCTTCCTGCGGGCTAACGTAAGGTTACTGATGTAGTCGCAATAAGTGTGGAGGGGAGCCACCCAAAACGGGCACCATTCACACCTCCAACCGTCCCAACGTTGTGTCCAACGACTCGAACCGGTCGCTCCTTCTGGACGGTGCATTCGCTCCGGCCCTGTGAAATGTCGTCGTGTGATGGGGATCAGAAACCTTGATGCGGCCGGGGTGTGTGGGTGAGTGGGTGATCACACCTCGTCTCGAATTTTCTACTCATTTGAGATAGGCAACTCTGCAGATTGTCTCCCTCGGCCGATTGGTTTAGAGACAATACCGACCGAATTCGCCCATTGAAGGAATCCGAGGGGGTACATCAGACACAAAAAAAGACTGGGGTAAGTACCGTAAGGTACGTGCCGTAGTATCTTAGGTAAAGGGAAGGGATGAGAAGAAAAGAAAAAAAAAAAGGTGATGTATCACGGGAGATTACCACATTGACGTCACCATGTGGTGTCCCGGCTAGCAGATCCCTTTGAAGGCACTTGCACGCCTCGCACTCTCTCTCTCCCAAGGTCAGAGTCCCAGCGGCCCAGGCATCCCGCACACCTCCCCCAATTCTCCTAGCGTCTAAAACGACCCGGAAATTAGGGTAATGTGTGATACGATACCATTCCTTTTACCTTACCGCTGACCGTCGAAAATCGACGATGGCGGGGACGGAGGAGAGGATGTAGGTAGGTACCTTATTTCGTAATGGTGTCACCGCTCTGCTGTGATGTAAGGTGTGTCTGCTTGGCAAGTCACAAGGGGGTGGCCTTGCCGTTGCGCATTCCGAGCTGCTTTGGCGTTCAGTTTGTATATAAATCCCTTTCTTCCTTTTCCTTCTACCTCGACTTTTCACTGTAGCTCATCTCATCAACGCCAACACCATCAAACATCACAGACACCTTCGAGGTTATCTCCCAACACTTCTACAACCAATCCACACCCTCCCAAACAAACCATCACACCGCAAAAATGGGTGCCGTCGTCTCTTGTGTAAGTAAAACTCTAGTTGCACTTTCCCACGGCACAGAGACCATGAACTGACTTTGCCTCCCCTACAGGTCCAATCCGTCTTCCGGACCATCGGCAACTGCCTCACCTCCGTCATCTCAGGCATCGGAGGCATCCTTCACGCCATCATCGGCGGCATCGTCTCCTTCTGCAACATCATCATCAGCTTCCTCACCTGTGGATACTGCGGTCGTCGCGGCGGCGGTGGACGTCGCCACAAGACTACGACTAGAAGTCACGTCTAAGCCGTCCCTCCCACCCCAAATCATATACATGAGATGGAAGGGATTGAGCCAACATGATTGATGTACGACCTCAATTCGAAATTCTTTCGCGATTATGCAGACATTACGAGGGGAAGAGGAGCCAGAGAGGAGGATGAAGATTAATGAAGAGCGCGACGCGAATCAGGCTTTGACAGCATACCCCCAGACGAATTTTCTATTTTCCCTTACGATACCCAGATACCACTAGCCTAGCTTCAATGGTATATCAAAATATCCACAAATTCTTTGTTGTACCGTCATGATATTGGAACGCTTGTCCTCTGGCATCTCTCGCGTTTCCACTTTTGATATCTTTTAAGGAATTGGAATTATTCTTTGCAATGTAATAACTTTGCAGAGTTATATCAAAGGAGAGATTGTGTTGAATCTAAAATTTATATGCGGATCGATTTATCGCAGTAAGTTCGATAGTTTGGACTGAGATTCGAAGATCTAACAT